TGATTTTATATTTCATATNTGATATATTAAGTTCATTAATTTCCCTATTTAATTTATCATATTTTTGTGCATTTCTGGATTAAATGTTATCATTATTAGATTTCCACTTAAACATTTTACATTTTATTTTCTAATCCAATATTTTAAACAGAATGCTATAGCGTATTTTTTTTTAATGAAATATTTTAGTCAAATTTTGATTTGCACAACCGAAAGCACAATTTTTATATTTAAGCCATTCTATATAAATTTAGCATGTGTTATTTTGTGTCCCTATAATTATTACTATTAATTTCTTCCAATCTTAGTTATCTATTTTCAATTTGGAGTAAATTGTCTTATTTTTTTCCCATTTTTCTCAATAAAACATCTTACTATACTTTCTATCTACTTATTTCTCTTGTACTGTTTTCTTGAGACTCTACAGGTGATAAAAATTTGGAATAAATATTGTATATTCATTCTTTGAATTTACATTATCAATTCTTCAACTCATTTGTTCTGAAGATGCCATAATACAAACAATTGAACAATTTTTTTTTTACAAATTTTAAGGTCATTTTACAAAAACCATGAATTAAAAACCATTGAACAAGATTTCACATATTTTTCTTACCATTATCTTCATTCTATACATTTCTTATCATTAAATAAAAGTCTTGATTGTTTATAGATTCTATATATTTCTTATTGAGATAATAAAAAGTTATTAAAAAAAATGTGTTTTTTTTAAAAAAAAAAGAATTAAATCTAAAATTAGAAATTATATGAAATTGGATTCAGAAGATAGGTGTGGATATCCAAATCTTTTATGGGTAGAAAAAAATCCCTCCTATCTATTGCGTTATGTTCCCTAAAAATACTGCATAAAACCCTTTGAAATATTTTCACTGCATTGACAAGAAATGAATGTTCATTTTCATGAATCCAATAGGTTGAAGCATAGAAGAACATGAATTCTTTCATAATCCCAAAAAGAAAGAGGTACAGTTGAAAATAAAAAATTGAGACTTTTAGCTAACAACCTAGAAAATAATCAGCATTGGACTGTCTTATAATATAAACTAGTTGTTGTCTGATTCCAAAGGGACGGAACTCCACTTTCTACATACTCGCGTCTTACACTCAAATGGCGGAGCAGAAAGACTTGAGAAGAAATTTCAAAAACTAAAATGACTTCTCAAAGCATGAAACGGCCGTCGTCTGCTCGAAGGCACATTAATCTTGAAACATTTAATCAGTTTGTGAGGTTGGTATAGTTTGATTTCACTTGGCATCAGTCTGATTTGTGGTTTTAGGTGGGTTGCTAATGACGCTATTTTTCCTTTCCAACTCAATCAAGCCAAGGATAACACGACGTATCTTTGTCCTGGGATTGAGAGGAGCATCACATTGATTTGAATTTACTTAAGACTTAGCGACTACAAAATCTAAATCAAACCTTCAGGAATGAGGAGTGCTTATGTGAAGCTCTAACCAAAGTGATGTCAGAAGAATGAATAATGTGTTGTCATGTCTGAAATATTCTAAATAAAACTTCCACATACTACCGAGATTCTTAGAATGTCTTGGTGTCGATGGATATGACAACCAATGAGAAAGTTATTAATGACATTATTAATTTACAGAAGGTATTTCTCAGTCTAAGGGCCAGGCACTTTTCGTGGGGGCCATGCCATAAAACTGAGGAAGAAATATTAGATCATAACCAGAAACATGTTGTTACTCATCAGACAACTGACCTATTGCAAAACTGAAGAAATTGACTTGTTTAATGTTTTGCAGTGGAGCACGTCTGGCCAAGATTCAATCATTATTAAAGGGGAATAATCCAGATTCTAACAGTCCTGAATCTATTGTTTGTATAACAGGTAAGTATTTCTGCGACTATTTTGCGGAGATATATTTTGAGATGTTTATTATAAAATTAAAAGGGAACAATTGGCATTTGATTTGGGTCTTTGTTGTGCTTTAATAGTCTTAGTTAGTACTAAAATGTACGAAAATAGCATAATCCCTTCAAATATACCTCAAACTACAAATTTGACTCTACTTCTATATAGATGTGTTTTCTATATTTATATGGCATAGTCTCACCAAAATTTGAGTCAAATTTATAGCTTTCAAATGTGAATAATTATGGATACACATGGAATTGAAGGCTTAAATTTCGGCAATGAGCTGTGAACACTATTACTGATTATTGAAACTAAGATATGATTTGTCGAATGGATATTGAAGGTGCTCCTTTAAATAGAAGTAAAACTTGCCTGTTTAAGTGTTGTATGATTTACGTCCTATAAGCATATAATTCTATATTTTTGCGATAATGCACAAGCATGTTTAATTCACACCCTTCTTACCCGCCAGTATATCTGTATTTGTAGATGATTTAAGAGTTAGTAAGCTGAATATTTCAAGTCAATAAATCAATGAAACAAGAATGGCAATGCTACTTCAAAATTCACGTTAATTTTTTCTACATACCATATTGAGAATCCATATCATTCTGGGCCCCTAAAATTTTTTACTTGGCCCCAGCAAGCGTATGTCAAGAGCTTTGTTGACAGCTTGCTTCATGTGCTTAACCTGTTTTGATTGTTATGTAGGCGAAATTGGATGTAGACAAAATGAAGACTGGCCATCTGAATCTCTGTAAAAGATACTTGATTTGATTGTAATTTTATTATAGGTATTGATAGTCGTTACAATGAAGGAAGTCAACAACTTGTTAATTATCTCCTCTTTGGTTTCTTCTCAACACGCAAACAAGAACTGGAAAAGTAGGTACATTGTTTTTATGTTTATTTTATACCAGTGATCAGGTCATGTATTTGTCTTTTGACAAATTGAATAAGCCCATAGTATAACCTGCATTCACTTCTGATAATCTCCTTGCATCAAAGAAATACTTTTCATTCAAGCCATTTTTCTTGAATTATTCTTATGATAACTAAACATATCATTCCAACATGTAGTAGTTCTTTAAAAGTACCTAAAGAATATTAAAACAAGTTTTCTATCTGTTGTATAGTTTAATTGATATTGAATCTGTGACATCTATGTGGATTTTTGTAGATCTGGATTCCCTGAAGAAGCTATTGATGGTAAGTAATGTCTCATATTCTTTGAGAAAAGAAATTAACGTTTTAGATAGATTTCGTAGTAGACAACACACCATAAAACTAGCTTGCAAAGTTTAATCACCAACCTAAAAACAACATGGACTGTTTTCTCATGCTTTGAATCAACATCTTTCCTGTATATGCAAACATATACTTTTGTTTTTTGCTCTATCTGGATAAAGCTGATTCACTTTCCATGCCCATTTATGTTATTTGTCCCAGCGGATAACAATATAGTTTTGTTATTTTGTTATTAGATCTTATTATGGTTATAAACAGTAACAGTATAGATATATATTGTAATGTAATTAACTACCACTATCTATTACCGTATACCTGTCACTGGTTGAATGTCCGATACCACTGTCTTACTGATCAGCAGGTACGTTCTCTTGTATTCCTCCCCAACAACTTCCATTGAGAAGAGTGTGTGAAGATCAATTATGATAGATTAAAATCTTAAAATATAAGTGAATTATACAAACTGATATATACTAATTAAAAAGGGATGAAATGTGCAAAAATCTTTCAAGCAGGCTCATAGCCAGACTTGATTGTTTGGAGGGGAAAGTAATATATCTGGAGGGGCAATGGACTGAATGGAGTTTGGTGTTTAGTTGCAGTGAAGATATTGGTCAGCCAGCATTGCCCCCCTTGTCACTCTGTAGCTATGGACCTGCTTTCAAGGAGGACTCCTTCAGAACTGGTCCCTCCTGGCCTCACCTAAGCTAATGGCCTGTTTATACTGGTAAAGTAAGGCGACATGTTCCAAAGCTGTTCATCATTCTATTTCTTTTATGAATGAAATAGTTTTTGTTAACTAAATTGTTTTGTAGGCTGAAGTAGAAGAAGCAGAAGAAGAATTTAAAATGTTTTCGTTTGTTACCATGGTAAAAAATAAAAACACTATAGCTGTACCATATTTTCCTACAGGTAGGTTATAATATTTACCAGTCATCTCATGAATATCAATTCTTCTAAAATTTCCAAAGAGGACTGTTAACACATTTCCCATTATACCAATGCCATAATGATTTTGCAGAATAAATATAGCCGAATTGTTTGATTTATTAGGTTTGCTTTTTTTTTTATGTGCTGTGTTTGTCAACTCTTCATCTCCTTTGGATTATCCTAACAGCTGAATAATGTTCTCTCAACAAATCAAGCTGATGAAACTTAGGCCTATAACCATTTCATCTGTCTTTAATGACATTGTTTTGCTATATTTGTAGGACATGTTGGCAAGTTTGACAAGATGGTTTTAGAGAAATGGCCATTAATTCAGGCTTTTGCTCTGGATGAGATAGGAGGGTAGGACCACTTACTCTCATATATCTACTTAGTTTTATTTATTTGAAACTCATTAGCCAAATATCAGCAAAAGAAAGTATATTTGATAAGGTTTTTTGATCTGTACAATACTTCACATGCCTCTTCCATGCAAATGTATGAATGAAAAAATGCTGTATTAAGTGAAACTATTTGAGTCTGCATATCAGGTCTATTATAACTGAAAACTTTGTATTTGTGGTTTATTTTTGTATAAAAAAGACATCATCATGAATTAGAATTCTGTAATTTTCTGTCTTTCAGTGGTGGTTTCTTCACCATGAAACATGAGGTAAGAATTTTTTTTTCAATATGTTTCTTTTGCTACCTTTATTAATCAATTGTATTTGAATAATTTAGTCTTACAGATCTGTTAGGATTTCCATCATAGTGTAAGTTGAAAGAATATCTTTAGAGTACTGGTATTTGTTTTTCTGACAATGTAATATATTCCTCAAATAGAATAGCCAAACCAGACAGATATTTGAAACTTCTGTAAAAAATTTGTTAAGTCTTTCTTTACCTTCCTCGAGTGGCATTTAGTAATATTAAATATAATTGTGTCCAGTTACAAAGTCTTTCTTTATTTTTTGTCCTGACCTGTACACATGGTATGATTGTATATCTAATGTTCCATGTAACTATTGACTATTATAGGTAGAAGATATTAGCAGTAAGGTCCATGAATTCTATAGTCATATAGATACTGTATCACTGGAAACCATTCTTACTCAGGTAACTTATTAGATCTTATTTCCCTAGTGTTTTAGGTTTTACAATTTGATTTGTCCAGCAGTAAAGATATAATTGTGTTGCTTGTTATTAAACAAAATAGAGCTCTTTGAGCAAAAATGAAACAGCCAATATTTGAATAAAGGAACACAATTTTATGGTATACTACTCCTAAACTATAAAATTGTGTTCCGTTATTTAATGTGATCTCTACTCCTAAATGTCACTAAAGGATTAGCCAATTTAGGAATATCCATATATTTAAAGTTTTGCTTTACCAACTGATAAAGCTCAATCTCAGCCTTCCATACGATTTCCAGTCTAGAATTATTTTAAAGGGCTTGGAGTACTAGTTGTTAAGTTTTATTTCTGAAAAGTGCAATGGATAGCTAATATTATAAATAGACAATTCTATCACTTAAAGGCCTACCTCCTGTATTCTTTTACAGAATTTACCACTACTAACAAGACAATGGGACAATATGGAGACCAGGGTCAGTCTAGAAATGTAAGTTATATCTTTAAATGTTGTCAAATATTACAATTTTGAACCTGGAAGAGTATTCCTGGAAAGATCACTGCCAATAATTTAGGCAAGGACTGACTGGAGGAGAGTTGAGAACCTTGGTAGTTATCTTACCCTGAAAATGGCTATTATCTGATACTGTGATAGATTGCAGAAACCTCCCCTGTCTCTTCATTGTTCAATGGCGAAATTTCACAGTCTGCTTATTTCTTTTCTTTCTAAAGCAGTAAAATATAGTTCTTTCTTTCTCCTCTATTGAGTGAGCTGTGAAATTTTAATGATGCTCTTTCAATAGTGTAGAAATATTCTGGTTTTTTTTTTTGCAGTTCTAGTCAAGTAGACAAACTAACAGAAAATATTGCAGCAGAGGTAAAATCTGAAGTTTTTGTTTATTCCTTCTACACAGCATATTGAGCAGTACTGGCCTTAAGCCTTCCAAAATATTCCCTACCTATTGGTTTCATACTTTGGGGTCTTAATGTTTTGATATATATATTGCCCTTAAATTTATGGAAAAACTTTGAAATTGTGGCCATATATACCATTACATTATATAATTCAAACATTTGATTTTTTTGGGGTTTTTTTACCATCCAGGTCCAATTCCTCATACCTAATACCTACCTTCAAAGATTGTAATCAGGAATTGATCGTGTATCTTGTAATTACAGGCTTTAATGAGTTATTATAAACATGGTCATATGATTGACTCACAGTCTCCAGATTCTAGGTAAAATAATTTCTCTTGATATCACTTCCTGTATTAGGTAGTATTAGTAATCCTCCCTATTCTAGTTTAACTGATCTTGCCATCCGAACTATTTACTCAAATTGCATATCAAAACTTTATTATAATAAGGTGGAACAAAAAATGAGGATGTGTGTGAGCTGTACAAATCCTGTTGGATTTGGAGGATTCGTATCCTCAATAACAGAGATTCAATGATACTCATAGCCAAGCCAAGTTTGTATAAGCATGTAGAAAAGTGATAGCCCTGGTTCCCAACCTGGGGTGTTTTCATCCCCTTGAGGGTGTGGGACTAGGGTGTCAGGGGCATGGCCAACTGGTGTAGGAGATGAATTTATTTTGAGTTGAGGGTGTGAAAGATCCAGGTGATTGCTCCAGTGGTGTGAAGGCTGAAATAGGTTGGGAACCACTTATATATACATATATATCATGATTTTTTATAGCATACTTTGATGGCACAAATGGAGCTCTGCAAGTTGGTGAAAACCCATAAAATCAAGTACAATGTCTGCACAGTCCCTGAACTGCAATATCATGGTTTTAAATAGACATTTTGATAAGCAGTTTCTACTTGCGTGTCTGCAGCACTTATACTAAGTCCATAGAGACCAATTAAATTATATTTGCCACATGTGAACTTGGAAAAATGGCAGCAAAGTTGTCAATTGTTATCAGTATTGACTAACAACTGGTGTTGGTGATTTAATCATATTTGTCAGTCAAGTCCCCTTGGAGTCACTTAGATATTTCCAGGAGATATTGTCCTTGAAATAAGTTGAATGCACCAATTAATTTACTTTGTCTGCCAGGGGAAATCCTTAGTTGTAGTGAATTGTCAAATTCTATTCCCATCTGGGGAGACTTCAAACTGTTATACAAAAAATTTTTTATTATGAATTAAAAAAAGTGGTAATTGATACAATGCACTGTTTTTGTTCAGTCCTATAGTATATATACATGAATATGTTTTGAATAACTGTTTAGCAACGGTACAATTCTCAACAAAATTTTTGTATTTTTCATATTAGACATACCAATCTTATGACAAGCACTGTCACCATAAGAGATTTGGCAAAATTATTTGTCTAAATCACTACATTACAAAACATATTTACCGGTATATATGAATGAATGAAAATCAAGCCATGTATTCTCAAAACAATCTTAGCAGTTGGATACCCTAGAACTGTTAGACGAAAAGAACTCTAGGACATCCTAGAAACAGTTTTAGAAGTTAAGAACCCTAGGATATCATAGAAACAATGTTAGAAGTTAAGACCCTGGGATATCCTAGAAACAGTGTTAGGAGTTAACACCCTAGGACAACCTAGAAACAAAGTTAGAAGTAAAGAACCTAGGATATTATAAAAACTGTGTTAGAAGAAAAGACCCTAGGACATCCTAAAAACTGTGTAAGAAGAAAAGACCCTAGGACATTCTGGAAACTGGGTTAGAAGTTAAGACCCTAGGACATCCTAGAACAGTGTTAGAAGATAAGACCCAAGGACATCCTAGAAACAGTGTTAGAAGTTAAGAACCCAAGGACATCCTAGAAACAGTGTTAGAAGTTAAGAACCCTAGGATATCCTAGAAACAGTGTTAGAAGTTAAGACCCTAGGACATCATAGAAACAGTGTTAGAAGTTAAGAACCCTAGGACATCATAGAAACAGTGTTTGAAGTTAAAATCCTAGGACATCTTAGAAACAGTGTTAGAAGTTAAGACCCTAGGATATCCTAGAGACTGTGTTAGAAGAAAAGACCCTAGGATATCCTAGAAACAGTGTTAGAAGATACGACCCTGGGACATCCTAGAAACATTCTTAGATGAAAAGAACCCTAGGACATCCTGGAAACTGGGTTAGAAGTTAAGATCCTAGGACATCTTAGAAACAGTGTTAGAAGTTAAGACCCTAGGATATCCTAGAGACTGTGTTAGAAGAAAAGACCCTAGGATATCCTAGAAACAGTGTTAGAAGATAAGACCCTGGGACATCCTAAAAACATTCTTAGATGAAAAGAACCCTAGGACATCCTGGAAACTGGGTTAGAAGTTAAGATCCTAGGACATCTTAGAAACAGTGTTAGAAGTTAAGACCCTAGGATATCCTAGAAACAGTGTTAGAAGTTAAGACCCTAGGATATCCTAGAGACTGTGTTAGAAGAAAAGACCCTAGGATATCCTAGAAACAGTGTTAGAAGTTAAGACCCTAGGATATCCTAGAGACTGTGTTAGAAGAAAAGACCCTAGGATATCCTAGAAACAGTGTTAGAAGATAAGACCCTGGGACATCCTAAAAACATTCTTAGATGAAAAGAACCCTAGGACATCCTGGAAACTGGGTTAGAAGTTAAGATCCTAGGACATCTTAGAAACAGTGTTAGAAGTTAAGACCTTAGGATATCCTAGAAACAGTGTTAGAAGTTAAGACCCTAGGATATCCTAGAGACTGTGTTAGAAGAAAAGACCCTAGGATATCCTAGAAACAGTGTTAGAAGTTAAGACCCTGGGACATCCTAGAAACATTCTTAGATGAAAAGAACCCTAGGACATCCTGGAAACTGGGTTAGAAGTTAAGACCCTGGGACATCCTAGAAACATTCTAAGATGAAAAGAACCCTAGGACATCCTGGAAACTGGGTTAGAAGTTAAGACCCTCGGACATCCTAGAAACATTCTAAGATGAAAAGAACCCTAGGACAACCGAACGCTAAAATCTTTTGAGAATACACGACCTGGCCCCTGACTAAGTTGTTAATGTATGAATGGGCTTCGGGCCAGTCTTGTAAATGTTGAAGGCTCAAATACAGGAGGCTCATCTTGTATCACTTCATCTTTTTTTCAGATATAAGTATCCATTTGTATTATTTGGTTGTCATAGTAATGAATCTGAAATAAAGAAATGTAGAAATGGTTTAACTGAAAACAACAAGAGTCTACTGACTTCTGGGATCAACAATGGCTCTCCTAAACTCATGGTGAGTCTAAAAAAAATATCAGCCTGGCTGGTTATCATTAATCTCTAATAGTAAGTTTCAGAAAACAGAAATATTCCACTTGCGACTGAAATTAATCTGAAGATTTTTTGATAGAAGATCTGATCTCAAATTGGACTCCAAGTCTATGGTTACAAGCTGTGCTGGTTTAAAGCCGGGCATCCACTTGAGAGTTTTGTAGCTCGAGTTCGCTCTCTGAGAGTAACTCGCAAATGGAAGGTATTTTGCGAGCAACTGTTGGACAGTCGCAATCAACTCTCGATAGAACTTCTGAGAGCGATTTCTCTCAAGTGGAAGGAAGTTTCTCGAGTTATCTCGATAGCACAAACTCTCTGATAGTTACTCGCAATAAAATTTACTCTAAATTGTTCTCAAATGGAAGAAGCACTGATAGTTCTCTCGCGAGTAACTTATGAGAACTCACAGAAAAAACTCTCAAGTGGACGCCCAGCTTTAGATCCCTTGACAGTTGGAAATCAAAAAAGAGAATCTAATTACCTTCATTGCACACTGCATGTCCCAATTAGGTGCAGAAGAGTAGGACATAAAACTTCATTCATTTCATTGCTAAGTTTAGGGGATTTCTTGAAAAAAATCATAAAAACTGATAAGATTTAGTGACTGCTGGGGAACATGCTATATCTTCCTCAAATCCCAAAGTTGTGAGATATTTCAGAGTCAATTTTTTAGATTATCAAATTAACCTATATTTTTATAGTGTAGGTTTTCTTACTGAAATCATAAAATTCTGTTATAAGATTTGAAGAATATCCAATAAATCTGTTTTATATTATTTTCTAGGTATGTCAAGCAGTGTCTCCTAACAGTCCTGTAGTTTGTTCTAGAACCTACTTCTTTACATCAATACTGAATCCTTTCTCTGGTGAGTTATCTTTCCTTTCATATAGCCTTGTATTTCAAACACTTTTTTGACATTTTGATATAGTTCATATACGTACATGCAAACAGGAAGATTAGACAATACCTTCAAGTGCATATTGAGTTATCTTTCCTTTAATACAACCACATTACAATTTAAACACAAAGACATAACACCACATAATATGTAGTTACGATACAGACAGATATACAGTAGTAGATTATATTATAATCAACCAAATATTTGTTTTAATGGAGCTGACAGAGTTCAATCTCAGCTATGTATTGAATGTTTCAGAACTAAAAAAATTCCATGTTTCTGTCTGAAATGGAGTTCTATCTGGTAGTAAAGCAAACATTTAGAAAGACTAATCTTCTTTACAAATACATTGAAGTTTGCAGATTGTGACATATACCAGACTCAATAAAGCGTTCCATTGCTGATCTTTTCCACTGAATATGACAAAATTCTTCAGAGAAAATAGATGCAGGTTGAAATAAAGTCAGTTGTTTGAAGGTCGCATAGCGTGAAACTCTGAGTAACAAAATGATTCAAGTACTGTTTTAAAGGGACAGATGTGGTTGATTTGTGTCTTGAATATATGTAAATAGTCTTCAGAAATACTAGAAATGTACAAAAATCACATAATACCTTTAAAAATACTTCAAACTAGGAATTTTACTCACTATTTCTATATATGTCTTTTCTATATATCACAGAGTGTCTTAAATTGACGAGTCATTTTAACATTCAAACGCGGATAATTCTCGACACACATGGATTTGAAGGCTCAAATTTGATGGTGAGCTGTGAACATTATTACTGATTAGCTCAGCTAAAAAATTCCAGTTTCTGAGACTATTTAAAGTGTGATTGGTCAAACAAATGGCCTATCTGTCCCTTTTATATTAAGTTTTTTACTTATTTTTAAGCATATTTGAACCAATATCATAGGTTCCATGTTACTTTGGTGTAACTATAACTGGTTGAGGTTTATTAGATATAGACTTTAGACCTATCTACATAATAATGTAATGTAATAAGTCAAGTATAGAATGATAATAAGACATTAGTCAACTATAATTACCTCATGTCTACTGTCAGTCTTAATAAAGCTTATTTTCCTGTATTTATTACTCTATTACTAGTCTTCCCTAGAGGATTGCCTACTGGGCTAATTTACTGTCATTCAATGTTATTTCTGAACATCAGGAACATCAGCAAGATTAAACTATTATGGAAGCAATGTGGGGTCACATGCAACTCTTCATTTAATTCTACAGAATGTTTTTAGAATTCTCATATTAACTAGAAAGTTTTTAGACCAATAAGGTTTTAATGATTGGGTATTTTTAAAATCCATTTGAACTATCATCTTCAGTCGTCAGTAGACAGTAGATATTTGACATTGCGTTATAGAGATGTCAGACTGATATTCTGGGTTTAAAGAGGGTCTGGCTTTGCCAAAATATTGAAAAAAAAAAAGAATGTGTAGGAAAAGTAGTAGTAGGAAATGCTTGTACAAGTTGTACATACATGATACACCAATATTAATTACCTCATAGGGAAATAGATGCAACAGAAAGTGCTTTTGCTTTTGACATTGCAGTTTGATTCCTTTTGTGATCCAATATGGAGTATTGGTTGATCTGGATATCCTGATTTTGATGCTCATCATTGATGTATGGCCTAATTTTTCACCCTTTTGTTAATAAAGATATTATTGATATATTTAATATATATTGTATTATATGTTCGACAATTGTTTCCCTGACAAAAAAGGATTGTAAAGAGTTTTTTTGGCTAAGGCTATTACATATTTCAAGTGACACAAGACAGACATCTTACTGAAAGTGTGAATGGTGCAAATTGATGCTTTAGGCATTCCAAATATACATAAATCCTCTTTAGAATCCTTAAAAATGATAAGTGATAAATGGTGTAAACTTTCGTAATATATATTTCCTCTGTCAAATATAATACCTATATTAACTCTCTCCAATATAATTTGGCTAGGCCTATAATACAAGTATAGTAATATAATGTGTAAATGTCAGTGTATAATTTATTTAAAGTTTAATGGTAATAGGTTATGATGTGCCGTCTGGCTGTATTCAGTAGTTTTGTACCAAGATAATTTGATGATGATAATTTGTCCAGTGGTAGATTTATCAAACCAATTTACGTCTGAACTGTCCTTGTTCTCACATGTAGAAAAGGTTACAAGTTTCACATGTCCTTTGAATCTGGTTTGTTACACCTGGCGTGTTTTTTTTGTCATAAATAAGTTTATGATTGGTGTTTTAAAGAGATACACTTGCTGAATTATTTGCTTTTCAGGCTATAAGATCCAATTTCGACTATTCATAAATTTTTTTAGAATTTAGATTTGATGCACGGTTCTCCTGCCATTTAACTAAAACAGACTATCATCAATGCAGGATGTCATTAACATTTTCATGTGTCATTGGTGAAAATGGTCGATATGTTAAAAGGATTGTAAAGAGGTTTTCTAAACTTTTTATGTGTATTGTTGACCCTGACCTATTTGCATCATTCAAATTTTCAATCAGATTATGTGGGTCTTGTAATTCCACTAAAGCTAATCTTTTTACGATGCCACTTTTGCAAAATTTACTACTGTATATGTGTATATAGTACACAGTTTGCTGGAGGGTGGAAGAGGTGCACATTTTATTCTCAAATATACGGTAATGATTCACCAGGGCAAAAAGTATAATAAAAAGTAAAAAAGACGTTTATTAGAGAACACATAATAATGGAAAGATGTTGTCATGGACATGATTAGCTTTCAATTCTAAAAATAATTTTCTTTCTTTTCTTATTGTAATTGGTCCTAGATCTGAAGCTAAATATGCTAAAACTATATTAGGCATGCTGTAATACATATATAATCATTTAGTAAGCTTTGTAGAGCTCACTAAAAGATACCCCATTTGATTTTCCTAATGAAAATGCAATGGAGGACTATATTGTGGCAAGAAGCTTTTACTGTAAGCATTTGTGTTAAGCTCTTTATCTAAACTCTTTTGCTACGCTTTAATGTAACCATTGAGCTCTTACTATAGACTGTGATTTTAAGCTTTCATGATTATCTCATGTTAAGTTTTGAAGTAAATATTGAGCTCTTACCATAGACCCTTATTTTAAACTTTCATGATTATCTCATGTTAAGTTTTGAAGTAAACATTGAGCTCTTACCATAGACCCTTATTTTAAGCTTTCATGATTATCTCATGTTAAGTTTTGAAGTAAACATTGAGCTCTTACCATAGACCCTTATTTTAAGCTTTCATGATTATCTCATGTTAAGTTTTGAAGTAAACATTGAGCTCTTACTATAGATTCTTATTTTAAGCTTTCATGATTATCTCATGTTAAGTATTGAAGTAAACATTGAGCTCTTACTATAGACTCTTATGGTTATTTTAAGCTTTCATGATTATCTCATGTTAAGTATTGAAGTAAACATTGAGCTCTTACTATAGACTCTTATTTTAAGCTTTTGACGAAATTATAGAGCTCTTGCTCTAGGCGCTTGTATTAACCTAACGAATTATCTAATGACATCTATTGGCAGGCTCTTGAAATAAACATTCGCAGTAAACTCTTCATATAAGCTCTTAGACTTAAAAACAAGTAGGCACTATATTTAAGTGATCATTAGCAATAAATTTCAACTTTTTTCAAGTAAAATGGAGACTGCAACAGTAGATTCCTAAGAGCATCAAGCGAAACTGTTTATCATAACAGAAATAGATATAGAAAGCTTTTGAAGTAAGTACTTTTGTTGATCTCTGGCTTTCTATTGAGCTCTTTCAACTGTCTAGGTCTTTTATTAAACGTTACAACAAGTTTGGAATTGTTCACCAGTAGGCACAGTATTTCAGTGAGCATTTACCAAGCTAGTGACATCAACAGCAGCAACAGCATATTCCTAACAGCGTCAAACGAAACTGTTTATTGTAACAGAAATAGATGATAAGTTGAAGTGCATATTGAAGATAGAAGAGCACCGTGAACAGGTTATATAAACTAGCATAGATACGACTGGTAGGGCTGATCCAATGTGGAGTCATATAGCCTAGAAGATCCAATAAACACATAGGCGTGGTGAACAAAATGTATGTAACTATTAACAGTATCAATAGCTTCGAAAGAGTTACCTCCTCCTTTATTTTACGATTTAATGTTAAGGCGTTGGAATGTTTAACAGAGGAATAACGCTTCATGATGGTTGACTGCCGGGTTTTACAACTTAACGTTATAGATGTCGCTAGCATCATGGTGTAGGGGAGAAACATGGTTATGATTTTAACGTACCAAAAATACATTGTGTTGTATTCAACCGTCATGGTGGATTCCGTTTTTTTGGAAATCAGGACAGTGGAATTATTGGAATAGTCGTATCCATCTTGAGCTTGGTATTCCCAGAATCGCGGGAGCGCGCTCACTAGACCTACACAGAATACCATAACAACGACAACTCCTGCTTGAGTACTTGTACACAATATTGTGGTCGTTGATGATGACACGGTTAACGCTCGTTCGAAACTCATCATGACAATCAGCCAGATTGACGTATACCAGAACCAGTCACGACAACTGATCGCGTAGCCTTGTAAATACACAATATAATCATTCTGACCTATATAATGCTGCAATCCAAGAACTGTAGTAGTCAGAATTAACAAGATAGTTGAAATGGACAAACCAAGTAAATATGTATCTAGAGACATTCGTATTTGTCGTGCTAGCACCATTATGCAAATTACTTCCGTTACTATAGCGAATAACATAATTACTGGCAGAGCCAGAAAACAGAAATAATCACTGATTTCCATCCAATATGCTGTTGTATTCGAATGATCCAATCCTACATTACAAGCTGGATGAGGAGTCAAACATGATTTTAACGGAGGCACCAAATATGGGTAAAAATTCAAGGGGTATAACTCAAAGTATTCTTTAACCTCCATCTTCAAATCTCACTAAACACTTCAGAATCAAAAGTTAGTCTCACATAAAATCTTGCATTTTGTAATCCAAGAAAAATTCAAATTCTGTATTAATCACATCAAATGTCTAAAGTCATATCGAGACATAAGAAATTCACCTTTGAATTGAAATATGTGCCTTGAGCTTTCTTTTCAAATTATAAAACAACGTTCTTCATTACCTCCTTCTGTAACTTGGTCTCTGAAACGAGAAAGTTTTTAATTAGCTTGGGATTAAATGTCGACAGCATCATTAAATTTTCATTGTTAAACCATCATAAATATTCACACTATTATTTCCAGTGTCTCACAACATGGTGATGTTCTATTTTAATTACTAGTCACTTATAGAATTCTCTTATCACTTTATTTCCACACGATTCTAGCAGTATTCCACTCAAAAATTTCACAAACTGAAAATGAAGTTGTCATTACATCATAACTTTACATGTTTTAACATGTTTTAAAATTCTGAATAAAGAACTTTCTATCACTTCAACCTTTTCCTTAGTCCAAAATATCACTGTATAGCCAAAACTAAATAGTTCCTATACTGAAGTTGTATTTAAAGTGATACTACGTCTTAACATAATATTGTAGAATTTTAAACTTCCCCAATAAGAGCATATATTCATCAGTAGATATACCTGGTGTCATAAATAACATAACAGGATCCTTATATAATCCAATAAATCTAAAAAACTTAATAAAAATGCATTTAACTATTGAAAAACCCTTAATATTATGATTAAGCGTTTTTCAATAATTACTAAGTTTTATGAATTTTCCAATTTTCTAGATTTTACAGGGATTCTGTTGTAACTTTATGACACCAGGTAAGTTCACTGATAAATATATACTCATATTGACAATTCTTGAGAATAAAATTTTATGTTCATTCTAAGACGTAGTATCACTTTAAATGGTTTTTGGATACACTCTGCGAATATTAATACTTTCTACCTACTCTGGTTTAAGTACCGTACTTGATGAAACAATCAGAAACACCCAAATAGTAATAGTACTTTCTACTTACTAAAGGTTGAGTATGGTACTCAATGGAAGAATGAGGATGTTTATGACGAGTTGTAATTATTGATGTTTGAAAACATCTTAGGTTCACATCACTATGAGATTAATCATATCTCTCAATCTATTGCATATTAATCACAGTATTTCTTCTCCTACAGTTCTTCTTATTATACCAGTATATTATATCAGTCTGTAACTGTCTTCTTATGATCCCTGAAATGAGAAATTTTAAAGTTATTGTATGAAGACAAACCTTTAGATAGGGAAGTGGTTTAATCCAAACTGTTTCAAATTGGGATAAAAATGGTGAAATAACACATATTCCCATTGTGGCATAGGGGACACAGTTGCAGTTGTTTTCTGAAATAACTTTCAGACAAAAGTGATAACCCCAGAAATTGTTGAAATGGTAACATAATAGTATAACAAACCAAACAATGTATAAAAAGCTGTATAAATGAATAGGTAGGAAGATGGGGCTACCTTTAAGCTTGTCAGTTAAGAAAGATAGTTTATCTCTATGAATATATTGAACAAGATACAGTAATATTTTCTATGAATATCTAAAATAAAGATAATGAAAGAGAATGGAATATTTATTAACCGTTGTTTTCAGATGTTCCTGGAACTGTTCCCTCGGGTCATTTTCTACAGATAACTTCCAAATAATAAAAATTATCTTAACGCCTGATATTCCTAATGAAAATATTAGCCAATCAGGTTTGAGAACAAGTTCAACGAGTCGCAACTTATGAATAAAACTCTCTCGTTAATTTATTGTAGATTTCTGCTAGCTCCATCAATTTTTATAAAAAATTTTGTTGTTCATGTTTCGGACCGTTTTTATATCTTAAGTATCAATTACTGGAAATTTCCCCTCCGCTCTAATCCAGGCACTATACCCAATTGACATTTGATTCCCCCTTAGATGGACATTTTGTTGCCAAGCAAATCTCCTCCACCATTTACCATAATCTTAGCTTACGATAAAACATGCCGTTTCCATGGTAACCTTTGATCTAGATCATCCAGGCGTTGGTTGATTCTAATAAAATTTAATTGGATGTGTTGAAAAGTTGAGTTTTTATATCCAGTTTATTGTGATGTGTTTGGAAGTTAATAATGTTTGATTAGCTGCCTCTTGAAATCAAGTTGAAGTTTGATTTTATTATTTTCGAGTTGTAGTAATAATAGGTTTTTACATCAAACTGCTCAGAATCTGATTGGAATCGAGCATGAAGCATGTTCTAAAGGATGATCAGACAACAGGTGATTGACAGCATCCATCATCTTTAGACTGAGCTCCCTGAAGGAAATTAATTTGAATTATAAGACATAATAGGGTTTTTATCAAACTTCTCAGAATCTTAACTGGCATGGAGTATACAGTATAGCACACAATTGATAAATTCTGCATGGTTATGAAGCAGGGAATCAACTTGAAGTACAATAGGGTTCAAAATGGCTGAGAAAGGAATAGAAGAGTACATTTTTCATGTGATATATCTGATTACATACTGTTTGATTGAAGCCAGGGCCCTGTTTCACAAAAAATCTTACGATCAATTTTGTTGTAAATATGGTATTATTCAATTTAAAATTCTACACTTCCGACAAATTCTTATCTTAAGATTTTTTGTCGAGCTGGGCCAAGAATTTGCATAGTTTGAATATGTTCAGAACTACTCCACCATAGTTAGTATCATAATAACATCAAGAATAGAAAACTTTTAACGTTCTGTATCTTAGATATAGTGTCCAAGGTCAGACAATTCATTAACCCTTTAGATTCCAAGGTCAGACATCAATATTTGTCTCAGTTTGACATCATACTTATTAATCATTGTATACTTAGTTAATTATCTTGAGGGAGATTATTAAATTTGACCCAAAATCATCTTTAGACTTGGTGGATCTACAAGACAGTCATCTTCTCTTCATCCTGTCTATAACTATTACATATTTCTACCCCGTTTCACTTTAGGAGGTAAACTTCATATTGGAAACTAAGTAATAGATATTATTTTGTGTGATTTTCAAACCAGCCAATTAACACCAGCCAATTTCCCGTAATCATTTCCACATGTCCGCCACAATGACATAGTGTGTCACTTTAGTAGTTAAACCTTGTATTAGGGACAGAGGTAATGAATATTCATGATGTCATGTGATTTTCAAACAAACCTCAATTTCCCGTAATAATTTCAACACGACCACCACCACAGTAGGTAATCCTTGTGTTAGGGACAGAGGTTTTAATATTCATGATGATTTTCAAACCCACCATACAACACTTGTGTGTAGTCAATTATACTGTTGTTTTGTATAAACAGGCAATGTCTCGACTACGAAAAATATTGTTTTGATTGTTAAAATTCGCTGCGAAAATCATGACGAACCATTCAACAAGCATGCACATCATCGTTTTTACATTTTGTTTTGTAAATATGGACACACTCATTAAACTCATGAATAATGTAAATATACAAGAAACCTCTTGTAAGAAAATGGTTGCTTTAATTCATTAGAATTTACAACCTATTTAGATAAAGTGAACCATGGTCCTATGCATTTATTGATAAAGAGGCTTGGTTTTAACAGAGATATCTAAAATTTCCCACGTATATTGTAACTAGGAAATGTGGTTTAATAACAATGATTGGTAAAACAGGGTCGTAACTAGGGTATTTTTTTGATGAGGTAAAAATCCTCAGTAGACTTTAAACGGTAACGACCTATACTGTAAACATCAAATAGATGATAAATTTAGAAAATTTCATATTTCAATTTTTAATTTTTAAAAACAAAATTTATTGTTTGTTAAATTCTACATGAGGCATTTGCCTCATTTGTCTTGACGTAGTTACGGCCCTGTAATAAAACGAACCAAGGTATGAAATATGTGTATATATATAATTTTAGAATATAATATGTAAGTTTATGTAATGATAATTTTGCTAATGGAAAGAAAAAGAGAAAATTATGGAAAGCTAAATGAATAATAAAAAGATTTGTCTGGATTCAGTGATAATTTAGAAATATTAGAACTTCACCACTATTATCATGATATTATTATACATATTGTAACAGAAAATAATTTCAACACTAGCTAATAACAATATTGGTACGGAAGTGGAACCGTATGTCATTATGTTGGAATGAACAGAAAAACAGATATCTGAAATTATTTCTATTAGTGGGTAAAGCTAATTTTTAGACAAAATATCTCGTGAGCTACAAGTTCCTTGAAGGAAATGACATATTTATACTAAAAAAAGAATTTGAATTGCTCTCTATTTTTGAGATAAATAGTGTCCACAAGGCAAATAATTTAAAAAGACAATCGTTTCAACACCCACTTATATAACAATATCAATACAGAAGTGGATATCTGAAATGTGTTCTATTAGCAGGCTGAGCAAATATTAAACCAAAATATTCTTTCAGCAATAAGTTCCTTGAAGGAAATGGCCCATCATGTTAGAATTTTAGTTGAAAAAAATAATTGAAATGTAGTATAGTTTACTCTAGCTTGAGATGAATTTATTTAAAACAACTTTCTGAAAGTTCACATGGCTTATAATTGGAATCGGAATTACACTGTAGTTTTTAAATAAATTTGATTACAGTCAAATCGAAAAGCCCACAATGTTTTAAAATGAGAACTGGAATTACACTGTAGCTTTAACATAAATTTGATTAAAGCCCCATTTGGAGTGTCCACAAAGCTAATGATGTTATTTGGGTAGTTTTGTTCCAACTTTCTAGAGAGTTGGCCAGAAATTCCTGGGAGAATATGTCAGATGAAATGTGATTAAAGTTAATATCCTGTAGAACTGTGGAACTGTGGAACTGTGGAAGTTTGAATTCAATGCTACAGTAGCCTGCAGTTCTATTTGATTAAAGAATGATTCACCATGCAGATGGTCGTCTAACAATACAAATTATCA